CGCAATACACTCACCTTCCGGACATTTCCCCCTTATTCGCGCCATTCAACGCCATCTGCCGACCTCGAAGACCCGCGCACGGGCCCTCGCGAAGCATCGCACATCCGTGCTCTACGGATCGCCCTTCTTCTCACCCTTCTTCAGCGACCAGGAGCCCACGCGCGCGTGTTTTACTATCACGGCTTCCCTGCCCCAACGCGGTGAGCTAATCGCGCAGGCCTGCCCGACCCGCCGCCCACTCCTCTCCGATCACCACGGCTCTCGAGCGCGCGGACGCATGCAGGAAATGGCGCCACGTCATCGGCGACACCACAGGAGGAGGACGGGTGGGATGATTCTAGGACGGGTGCCCCAGGTGAGTCGCAATCGCCCGGTATTGCGTGTCGCCCCAGGGCGCATACACTTACCTTCCACACGTTTCGCCCCTCGTTCGACCACCCCAGCGCGCTCTGCCGACCTCGACGACCTTGCACTAGTCCATGCGAGGCATCGTGCGCCCGCGCTTCGCGGATCGCCCCTCCCTTCTCGCCTTACACGACGACCAGCCGCTCGCTCGCGCGTGCAAACCCGCCGCGTTCTTCGTTCGTCACACCGCCTACCTCGCGTCCTACGCGATGAGCCTATCGCGCAGGCCTGCCATATCCGCCGCCTATGCCCTCGTCCCATCAGCACGGCCCACTAGCGTGCAGACGCATGCAGGAGATAGCGCCGCGTCATCTGTAGCACCACGGGAGGGGTATGGATAGAGTGGATACTGTGGGAAAGGGGCCACAGGTGAGTCGCAATCGCCCTGTATCGCGTGTCGCCCGAGGGCGCATGCACTCTCTTCAGCTCGCTGCGCATGGCACCCCGCCGTCAGGATTCATCCACGACAGGCGAACGCGCACACGGACGGCTTGCGCAGCTCACCGCGCCTCACGCTCCGCCGGTCGCCTGTCTTTTCTCGCCCTACCAAGCGGTCAGCCGCCCCCTCGCGTCTCCTTCACCACCACGCAGTGCAAGCGCGCCGCCGATGCTCGAGGACGTGGCGTGCCGCTCAGCGTTCGGCTCGCAAACGCCGCCGTGCCCGACAAGATGGGAGCAGGTCAACGTTGAAGCGCAACGTCGGTACGGCCTTCGTGCGGTTGCTCCACAGAAACGATGACACGCGTGAGACGTGCACTCACATCAGCCAAACGCTGAACGCGCGTACTGTCGGTTCCCCTTGATCGCACTGTACAGCTCACACTATCGGCCTTCGCATTGCTCTACAACCGCGCAGTCGGCCCCATCACACGCACCGACCGCTCTGCTCTCTCGCTCACAACTCGGCAGCATCACTGCATGCGGCTCATCCGACGCCGCACCGACACGTTCGAGCATCAAAGCAGCCGTGAGACCTGCAGCGCAGTTCTGTCGCCTCCGTCTCCGTACGTGGTACACGAAACAAGGAGCGAGGATAAGTGGAGAACTGGGCCGTGTACGTGCGAATGCGAAGCCGGTGAGTTCGCATGCTTCTCGTTTATCGATGTACTAATGAGGCGTGCGCTCGCCTTCCCTCTGGGCAGCCTGGGTCCGTCCGCCTCTGTCCGGAACGTGGACGACGACCTGGTTCTTCGATAGCGGTACACCGCATCTCAGATAACCTAACTACTACTGCAGCACTCTAGAACGACGACATCGAGGAGCTCGTCCTTTCCCGGAAGCTCTTCAACCAGCCTTTTCCCTCCTCCTTCCCCAAGCATTCTCGTTCTGCTCCTGAACAATGGCCCGACGAAGAATCGGTCGCCAGTGCGCACCTCTCGTCCAACGCACTGCAAGGCGCCCGACGGACATTCCCCGTGTCAGCACGCGCCCGAGGACCATCCGACGCATCAGCGCGCTCGAGCAACGTCCTCTGCCCTTCCTCCGCGTTTGTCTTCGCATACCGCCTCGCACGGATCGCTCACCGCTCCCGCGCTCGCTACGTTCGTCATTCCATCGACAGCACCGGTCTCGGGCAGCCCTGTCCGCTCCTCAACGTTCGATCGCACGATCAAAACACCTTCGGACCCAGTCAGACCGCGTGCGCATGCTGGGAGCCCGGCAGACGCGTTCTCGCGGGTAAGGTGCGCCGATTTTTTCTCTCCATGGTGTCGCTGATTTCTCCCGCCTGAAGTATCGGAGAGCCATTCGGGAGCGCGTGCAGCAGTGAGCAGGATTGGATCGCAGTTGGGGGATTCTGCGCTGGGAGAGGAGGGGTGTTCTCGAATCGTCCGTGGTGAGTCGCACTCGGTTCTGCCGTCCAGGTACTCCTGCATCTGACACAGCCCATGCGAACCGGCGTTGCGCACGCCGCCTCTCGCTATGGCCGTCGCCCCGGTGTGCATACCGCACCCCTGCACAGCCGCTGCTCCGGGTCGCGTACTGCGTACGGTCTCGCGTTCGCCTCTGCGCACCGCCCCATGCTCGGTCCTGGCCTCCTTGCTCGCCACCCATCGCACGTCCATTCTACCCATATCATGCACTCCTGCCGTCATCGCGCTGTCCACTGGCTTTTCTCGATCCTCGCCGGCTGCGTCCCGGTTACCATCGCTAGTGCGCGACTCCGCGTGCGTGCTGTACGCGGTAAGCAGTTCTTTCGGGTGTATCTTGCTAACCATTTGTCCAGGATCGCCGTTCATCACGTCACCGCGCGCTTGAGAAACATCCTCTGCGCTCGTCCCGCATTCGCCTTCGCACGTTGCTCCAGATACGCCGTTCGCCGTCGCCTGTGCATCGATATCACCGACCTCGTGCGCTGCCCAACACGTCGCTGCGTTCACCCGCACTCCTTGAACGTCACCGGCTCCTTCCACGTCCCCATCGCTCATCTGAATTCCCGCGAGCGCGCTGTACCCGGGAGGGAGTTCCTCTGAGTCGATCTCGCGGAGCAGCTGCACAGGATCATCCTGCGTCGTCCCGGCCTCAGTGCCTCGGGAGCTGGTGAGTCGCGTTCTTTCCTTCCTTTCTCATTTCCGTCTCATCTAAGACAGTAGCATCGCATGATGGCCTAATCGTAGTGTCTCGCGTCGCACCAGAGTGTACACACTCACCTTCCAGACACCTTCCCTCTCGTTCGACCACCCCCGCGCGCTCTGCCGACCTCGAGGATCCGCGCACGAGCCCACGCTCAGCAGACCCCCCTCTGTTCTCGCCGGTACGAACCGGCGCTGATTGTGCAGGTCTGCCCCATCCGTCGCCCACGCCCTCGTCCTATCAGCACGACTCGCGGACGCAGGCAAGACATGAACCCGTGATCGGAGGTACGACAGGAGGATGGCTGGGATACAGGGTGACTAGCGAACTTAGGCCGCGCTGAGCGAACTCTGCCTGGCATGCGTTCGCTAGGTCCTGCTTCGCCATGATGGGTGTTGGACGGGCTAGCAAGGACATGGTGAGGTGTGAGGGTCAAACAGCAGGCATATATGGGCTGAGGTGAGTTCATTTTTTCAATGCATCTTGCGGTGCCCCAGCGCGCATATACTTACCCCTGGCGCATCCTCTCCTTCCGCACTGCATGGCGCCCTGCCGTCCAGAGTCATCCACTACACGCGAGCATGCAAATGTGAGTTCGCGCGCACCTCACGCCTTCCTTGCCCATGGCGCCGCCTCCTCCGCAGTGGACGCGAGTCCGCTAGAGCGCGCACTCGGACGCCATCCCATATCATCTAATGTTGTCGGTTACATGCTCTCCTACTCCTCTAGGGCGACTGCGGGAGACCACTGGTAATTCAGATGTATTCTGCATTACTCATTATCAAACAACTGCAAATTCTGAAAAATTGATCACATTGAAAGAATGAATATATCAGACTTATATGTACATCATGTGCAAATGTGGTTTTGCCTGATGAAGTACAATAAAGATCAGTTTTAATATTATAGGGAATTCTTGAATTCAATCGCTGAAGGTGAGGGTAAGGGTTGCCATATAAGGAAATACATTTATAGCCATCAATATTGTTTGG